CAATATCAGAGATAGAGCTTGTGTAAATATAAAAGTGAACATAGAAGTCAACACTTAGAGGCGACAGGCTGTTTCATGCTACATGCAATCGTCGTGTGTTTGTATGCATGCGTTATAAATATAAGAGTGGTCTTTAATGCCAACATACTTAAACGCTTTAAATTTCCTTCTGTATTACTTTTAAGCTCATTTTACTCATTCGAATTGTCGAAGCTTAACAGCAGAGTTTTGTAATCAAAATGTAAACAAAGCAATTTCTAAAGAAATGATGAATTATTATTTATTTATCCGACAGATTTTTTATCACTTTAAACGTTAAAGAAATTACTTTGCTGAAGCGTCTGATATGAAAATTTCGCTAATCTGAACTCATCAAATATGCTTAAAAGCAATACAGAACATTACTTGATCCAGAAATCAATGCAGCAGTAAGCAACATATATAAATAGTCGATCCCACAACATACATGTCCTGAGGATTGCGTTCAAGTATGGCACAGACTGTCGCCACTCGTTCTTGACCTCAGCATTTATATTTAAGTACGCTATATCCCTGATATTGAGCACTTTAACACATAAATATCGCATACCTTCAAACTATATTTTTATCATATATATATATATATATATATATATATATATATATATATATATATTAAACGTAACAAGTGGATCCAAGTAATATAAAATATTAAAACTGATCCACAAAAGAGCTCAATGTATTTATCATTACAGAACAAATAATTAAAAAACAACAAAATTCAAAATTACCTCATATGGGATCATATGGGGAATAGCCTATTTCGCCTGACAAAGATACCATCTTATCAACCCCGATGTAGACTGAGTTCGTGTCAGAAATAGAAATTTAACTGTGAAAGCTAAAAAAAAAAAATACAAAAAGAAAAAAATCGAAAAACTGATACAAATTTTATCGATTTCAATGGTTGTTTTTACGCCGACATTTTATCCATTCCAATTTGTTTTTATGTCGACATTTTAAAACTAATTCATTACTCTTTCATTATTTCAAATTTCCATAATATAGGTTTAACTTAATCAGCTACTATATTTCTATAATATTCACTCTCCTCTCTAATTCTTCAATATGTCGAATGTATAAATATTTCTAATTTCTTTATCCCCACCTCTATAACCTCTTTACACTATATTAATTATGATTTATAAACTCTCCCCCTCCTCTAAGATCTCTTTTCAGTCATCCCTTAAATACTTTTCTCTATATATTTTAAAGTTATATTTAAACCCCTTTTTATTCCTCTTTTAATTTTAAATGAATATTTCATTCCTCATATAACCCTAAGTTAATATTAAAAAGGTTAATATTCGGGTCTAATTTTATAAAACTTCTTCCCTTTAAGACAAACACCTTCCATCTTCCCCTGACTCATGCCTTTCGTCTGACTGAAACATTGAAATGGATAAATTCTGTATTAGTTTTTCGATTGGTGTCTGTTTTTAATCTTTCACTGTTAATTTTCAGATAGATAGATAGATAGATAGGAACATGCTGAGATAGATAGATAGATAGATAGATAGATAGATAGATAGATAGATAGATAGTGAAGAAACTGATATATATATATATATATATATATATATATATATATATATATATATAGAGAGAGAGAGAGAGAGAGAGAGAGAGAGAGGAACAGAATAAATTCTAAATATGTTCTTTTCTTTTTCTTTTTTTTATTCCAAACGTATATAATGGTCAGTAAGGAAAACAATCTTTAGTTGCAACCATTTTGGCAGTTGAAGTAATATTGTGCCAATGATTCCCACAAGTTATCAGTCATCAACAAATCGAAGATAGAAATAAATTCTAAATTGTTTCAGAAAGGTCAACATTTCAGGCTTGAATTTGTTTCGTTCAACTTTCAAGTAACGTTCAACGTTTTTTATTGATTTCGCAAAAGGAGATCCTTTGTTTATTTTTATTTATTTTTTGTTTTGTTTTTTTCGAATTTTCTTTGACCGTTTTTGGCACCAGTTTGGGTGGGGCCAAATAAATATTCTTCACCATTGAATTTGCTTTCTTTCTTTCTGTTTTTGAAAAATTGTATTCATTTTATTTTTTATTAGACTTCATCCAACTTGCTTTCGACTTTATGATTAATGATGTCGACGGGGAAAGTATTTGGATATGGGGCTTTGCTAAATATTAAATGGTAGCAAGTCTCATGGAAACTCCAGAACCTTTCTCAATACCCTACATATCTTAGCACAGCAGAAAGCCATAAAGTTCGAACTCCAGATGTAATTCGAACTCCAGATGTAATTCAATTTCGTTGTCTTATTTTTGTGGCTCATAGATTAACCAAAGTGCTCTGTAGATTTATTATTAGTATTATTGAATATTGTTGAATACTTCTTATTGAATTATTGATCAGCACGTCATTAAAGTGACGCTGAGGTACGTATATACAAAATCCAGTATACCCATCGTAAGACTTCGTTTGATAAGACTATACCCCCATCTCGTGTATCATAGCCAAATGTGTGCAATATAGTGTGACAAGTTCTGACAATAGCAACGAATAACCTTATGTACATTAGTTTTTTTTACTCATTTCACCCCAAGCAAGGCAATAAATCCTCTAAGAATTAGGATTATGATTATCAGTTAAGTTGATAAACATCTTTCTCACTTTCATCTTTATAGACTTATTAAACCAATTTTTCTTTCGTTCTTTGTGAGAACTCCCCCTCACTTGAGCGGTCTTACGCGATATACATATAATCATTTCACCCGAGGAGAAACAATGAAGCCACTAAGACGCAAGGGGTCACTGAGTGTAAAAGAATATGAGAAAAAAATCATTAAGGAGGGAGAACGATAACAGGACAGGGATTAAGAATACAAACTATAACGAGTGATATTGCATTTAAATTATTGAAGATCAAAGTTGATTTGAAAGCAAGAATCAGGAAGAGGAGAGAAGAAACTGTTAACGTAGAACTTGCGGCTACATCGAAGCATTTTAATTGTAAAATGATGAAACCTTGCTGCCAATCTAGTAATGCGCTTAGTTAGAAATGCATTCACGTAGAGCAACTGAGTTTCAAGAAATCCAGATTTGGGTTGTCTTCAAATCTAAAAAAAAAAAATAGCAGTTCTTCTCGTCACCTGATTCACCATTTTACTTCCGCTCATGAACAGACATGGACAATGCGTCAGTCACTAGGGAACATACCGAAATTTTAAGGTAAGTCAACTGACATCAAATGTTTTGTACTGAATGGGATATTTACTGTATCCTAACGTAATTCACGAACACAAGTTACATACATGTTAACATCTCCAATCAATTAAGATCAGAACCACACCTTGATTGGTCTCACCAGTATTAATCAGAGGTTTGCAATAATAGACATTAAGTGACAGCAAGTTGTCTCTGTCCTTTCACTCGATCACCAGTTCACAAAGCCCATTTCGTGAGAGCTTTGGGGTGACGGACACAATTACACTATGTGAGGATTTATGATAGAAAACCATGATTTCATAATAAAATCTGTGCTAACCAACTGATATTGGAAAACTTGTCAACATATATTTACATTAAAAATGAACATGTTTTAATAAGATATAAAGTATGCGATAAGTTTTCTGTTGCTATTAAGTAATAAACTGACTTACCCCTCTAATAGAATTACTATATTATATTAAAGTCTGGTCAATGTTTTGCAAATAAAATTGCAATTAATCACCGATGAAGGGCAATTTTTCGCGATAAACCTATATTTGAAAAAATTACACACACACGCACACACACACACACACACACACATATATATATATATATATATGATTATATATAAGATATAAAGACAAGTTGAAAAGCAACTTGTCAGTTGTCAATATCTCTCATAACGCACTCGAGCGCTAAGCCTTGGAGCGAGTAAAATGGAAATTAACGTGTTTTAGTGGACTCGGCAGTTTTAACTCAGCTTGATGAAATCGTCTTCAAGAAGTGAGAGCACGATCTAAAAGGTCAGCCAATCTAACAGTGATCTCATGCCACAATCCTTACTCTTGCTCCATATGCGACCTCCTTTGTAGATCACAAGCGGGTCTTAAGTGCCACTTAAGATTATCGCACAATAACTGAATCAATTAAGTTGTCAGATCCTCATACGTCGAAATATATATGTGTGTGTGTATGTGTGAAAAGTGTATGTATATAAATATAATATATAAATATAAACATATATATATATATATATATATATATATATATATATATATATATATGAAGAAATATAGTTTTAAGGTGTGCTATATTTATGTGATTAAGTGCTCAATATCAGAGATAGAGCGTATGTAAATATAAAAATGAATATTGAAGTCAACACTCAGAGGAGACAGGCTGTTTCATGCCTGACGATTGCGTCCAGCATGAAACAGCCTGTCGCCTCTGAGTGTTGACTTGAACGTTCACTTATATATATATATATATATATATATAAGGGAGTGGATAAATATGATATATTGATATTTTTTTCATTTTCTTATTCAGTTACCCACTAATACGGATAGCAGCTTGAAATTCGTATTTCGGCTGAGTTCATTAGATTCACTTACCAGCAAATACCCTTAGCAAAGGTAGGGATCGATCTCTCCCCCCCCAATCTAGGAGTTAAATAGTAAGATTGTATCTGGAAATAAAAACATTATTGTTCTGAAAAATTGTTATTGTAATCCAACCTTCTTTCTACTGGTAAAACGAATACCAAAAATAAATGACCATTTTCATTGATACCGTTTTATTTCGTAACATGGGGATCCCGAGACGACACAGAACACAGTAGCGAAGAACCGTCATACCTTTAACCGTTATCTTTCCTACATATCTCCATAAACTGGGTCTTTTACTCCGTAATCCTCTACCTAGAGTGAGTCTTGGGCCTTAGAGAATAGTAAAAACGAATATTCTTACAATTCAAATATTTATTTAAGCTTTCATCATCGTCCCTATGAAGATAAGACGATTTCTCTCTCAGTTTGGTGGCAGTAGGCGGCAAACTCATATCTCTTACTTTATCTCTCTCTCTTTCTCTCTCTCTCTCTCTCTCTCTCTCTTTCATTTATTATTTTATATCTCTTTCTTTCTCTTTCCCTCTCTCTTTTATTGTTTCATATCTCTTCATCATCATCGTCATCATCACTTTCATCATCCTTCGACCTCGCTATGGTTGGTGGGAACTCCATTGACATTGCGTTTCTATACATTGTTGTCCCCAGATCTCCAATATCCAACCCTGAGACCCGAGCTATGGTGTCTGGGGAAGTTAATTTTCGTGTGAAGACACTTCCAGAAGGATGCCACAGGAGTAAGGATGAGATTTAGTCTTTAAATAACCAAAAAATGTGTTGATAAGCTGTAAAAATCGAAATATATCCTGAAAATGTGGTCAGCATCTGTTGATTAACAGTAAATTTATTGTGAAAAAATGCCTTGCAAAATAAAATCCGAAATAGTCTATTATTATTATTAGTAGTAGTAGTAGTAGAGGAAGTAGTAGTTGTAGTAGTAATAATATTAGTATTAGTACTTTACGGTTTGTTCTACTTTTCCATTGCAATATTCGTCTTAAATTGATTCTCCACCAAATCCTTCTTTCTCTCTGCTTTTATCTCCTCCTCTCTTTCTCCCTTGCATACAACACTCTAAACCCACCCCCTGCCCACACGCACCCACGCGCATGCGTGCACGCACGCGCATGCCTACTAATTTATAATCATGTATGCACGCATTTCTTGCATCCTTTTTCTAATCTATTTTTAATTAATCCTTTTCCTTAATTTCAGAATTCTAAACAGACATTTTTTCAGTGCATTCTCCCACCCTTATCTTTTCTTTTCTCTCCATCACCATCTACCGCTAAAACCCCAAAACATCATTTACTATTTCTACCGACCTCCCAACAAGGCGCCAAGCTCTTCACAATACTAGTTTTTCAGACACTTACTTGAAAACGATGTGCATTGTAAAATAATAATAATAATAAATCCAGGAGTAGAAGGAAGAGGCGGATTTGCATCGAGTCGGGCATTTGCCAAGGTGAACGGGCCATTTCCCAATATGTCGCGCCGTTTTTACTATCTTCTTTAGACTTTCTTCCTGGCATAACCCTCCCCACCCCCAATGCACCGCCCCAGCCAGCAAAGGTGTCTATCAATCGATCTCGGCCGACATTTGCCGTAGCTGAGAAAGTAAAATTGATTTTTGCCTTCTCTACTTACGAAACCACCAACCTGTTAGCAACAAGGTTCACCCCTGACACTTGTCATTCAAATTCATTCATTCATTCTTCTTCTTCTTCTTCTTCTTCTTCTTCTTCTTCTTCTTCTTCTTCTTCTTCCTCTGCAGTTGCTTCTCCTTCATTTTGTTACGTCTTCTTTTTTCTTCCTGCTCCACATCCTTTTTTTCTTCTTCTGCTTTTGCTTCTTCGTTTTCTTCTTTCTTTTCTTTCCCTTCTTCTTATGCTGCTGCTGTTGCTTCTTTTTCCACTTCTCCTCATTTTCTTCTTCTTCTTCTTCTTCTTCTTCTTCTTCTTCTTCTTCTGTTGCTCCTCCTCTTTCTGCTGATTCTTCTCGCCATCTTCCCCATCCTTTCTTCTTCCTCCTCTTCTCTTTCTCCTGCCGTTGCTTCTTAACCTTTTCCTTTTCCTCCTCGTCATCCTTTTTCCTTTTTTTCTTCTTCTTCTTGTGCTGTTGCTTTTTCTTCTTTTTCTTTTTCTTCTTCCTTTTCTTTTTCTTCTTCACGGAACCAATTTACATTCATTTCTCTATTCTATTCTTTCTTTTTTGAAACTTAGTAAAAAAAAAATATCAGGTTAAAAGCGCTCAGACATTTTTTTTTTTCGTTTTTTTTTTCTTTCTCTTTCGATGATAATTTTATTTTCTACTTCTGTCTAAATTAAATTCATTCTTTATTCATTTTTTAAAGGAATTAAATTTTATATTAATTTATTTTTTTCTTCATTTGTATCTCCTTTCCTTCCTTTTCTTCTTTCGTTCATATCTGCCTTTTTTCTCTTTTTGCTTTTCTACGCTCATTCATTTATTTATTTGATCTCTTCTTTCCTTCACATCCCCATTCTGACGCTCTTTCTTTTCCATTTTGAAAAATTCAAAAACGACTCCCTAATTTATTTTCATTTTCCCACTGAATCTCATTCATTTTATTTTAATTTCCCTCCTTTCAATATATATATATATGTCTTACCTTTCTTGTTTTCTTTATTTATTACCTTTCTTCGTTCTTAACTCTTTCCCTCCGTCAAATATGTATTATTTATTTATTTAGTGCGTGTCTTGGCTGGATTGTTTAACCCCACCCCACCCGTCAAACACCGTCAGTCTTTCATGATTAATTTCACATTATCTGCAACTCTTGTTATTGATCGATTATTTTTATGCATTTTCTTGTTCACATCAAATGCTTGGTGGTTATGGCTTTGGGTTAAGTGCCGCCAAGTCTTCTCAAGTCATTAGCAGTTTCCTCAGTATCCACACTGGTCCTAGTGTTTCAGTCATTCACAGTCATATATTTTATTCAAATCCCTGATTCATACGTTATTATTTCTATTAATTTAAAAGTGTTTGGCGCCTTTCAGTAGATCATATGACAAGTCCTTCCAATACGGCAACATTCATACCGATTTGAATTATACTTTTGTTCTTTTCACCTCTGCAACCACTTTCTCACAGACAAAATGTCGCAAGCCTACATTCACCGTCCTGGGTAAGACGATAAACTACACCCAACAGTATCATGGGTTTTTAAGAGCGTGGAACCATCTCTTAATTGCTGATATTTACAGGTCCACCCTGACCCGAGGTGGTAGCAGCTTTTATTGTCCCAGGTATGGGAAAATAGTTAACCCCCTGTTGTATTGGAATGTCCCACACTCCTTATCGCCTATGTGGGCTGACTATATCAGTAGCTATATATATTGAACCCAGGATTTACCTGGGGGCTTGCTTTGGGAATTAGTTGGAGATTCGTCTCCGGCTGTGCTGGTCGAAGTCTCTGCCTTCGGGCGGGGAGGAACGCAGACGAGACTATGCCGAAGGGTGGAGTTTCGTCCGGTGTGGTAGACAGCTACCCGACCCCATTTTTGACGGGGTCTATCGAGAATTTTTGCCCGAGCCTACGGACATTATAAACGGCCTTGTGCCACATCCTGCCTCGCGGGGAGGTAAGGTAAATAACCTTGCTTCGGGAATTACTAGCCTGCCACCCGAATCCCTGTCTTTCAGTAGTGTATTCTCTTTTACAATAAACCTCTCTTCTTTCATCTATGCGCGTTTTGCTGTTCCTTCACTCGAGTACTACCTTTAATAGCAATGAATTTTTGATGAAGATATTATTATCAGCAATACATTTTTGAAAAAATATTACCAACAATACATTTTTAGGGGAAAAATATTACCAGCAATAATACATTTTTGAAGAAAAAATATTACCAGTAATATATTTTTCGGGAAACAAATATATTAGCAGCAATATATTTTTGAAAAAAAAATATTACCAGCAATAAAAATCTTGTCAGAATTAAAAAAAAACAAAAAAACAAATCAAACGAAACGAAACCTGCATTCAATAGTTCTACTAGTTCAGACCTTCACGGCTCTGACCTGCCATACAACGTAAACTGGAGTGAATCATTCAGATGTCCTTTATATTGCATTCGTGAAAAGGAAGTTTCTTTTTGGACAACTTCTTTCCAGGAGTCGCTGTTTTGTCGAACAGATACCTGAGAGGATGATTCCTTGATCGCTACAAGTCTAGGGTCTCCGGTAACTATCAAAACACGATATTTTATATTCAGTAATTTTGATGTTATCTCTTTATGATAGTATCACTCGGTGAGCCCATTGTTACACCACCCTCAATTTAATACCCTTTATTCTCCAAGGGTCATGTGCACCCCACAAATAATAGAGGTCTTCGATTTCTACCGTTTTATTTTATTAATATTTTTCTTATACCCCTTGTTAGCAATCATTTTCCACGAAGCAAGGCAATAAAGTCACCAAGACGCAAGAGTTTACTGAATATTAGAGAGTATAAGAAAAAAAAGAAAATACTATTAAGAAGAGAATAATAAAAGAATAAGAATTAAGAAGATATAAGATAACGATAGACATTACATTTAAATCTCTGAAGATGAAAGATGACTGGGAAGCTAGAGAGTTTCACAAGCAAGAAGCGCGAGAAAAGAAACTGTTAGCATAGAACCTACGGTTGCATCTAGCCATTTCAACTGTAAAATGAGGAGACCTTGCTGTCAATCTAGTATTTCGCTTAAATTCATAAAATCTAGTTACCATAGAGGAAAGTTCACCTAAACAAATACCATAAAAGCATCTATAGAAAAGTCACAAGGAAGTTTCATTACGGCAGTGGGAAAGTGACTGAAGGAAAGATGCCAGGTTAGGACCAATAACATTGCAGATTGTTCTTTGGATTTTATCAAGAATTTTTTAAAGATATAGCAGGAGCACCCGACCATATGTGACAGCATTGACATATTCCCTTCGAATTTCTTTTCGTTATGATTTATTGAGTCGCATTCAAATAATCCCAGAATTTTGTAACTCTCTTTTGTATTTATTTACAACTGTTTACATCTTTCGCTTCAATTCCTTCTGTTGTCACTGACTTACTTGTAGGCATCACCAGTTATGTGCGTTTCTCTGTAGAGAACTTCATTCCTATGTCATCATCTCTGTTATAAAGTGTTTCAATATCTTCCATCTACAATAGGTTGCAAAATTTTCCCGCCTTGTTCATGAATTACTAACCTTATTTATAAGTGTACTACATTAGATTAATTGATACCATTTTTTTTTTTTTTTTACAAATATTATCTCCATAATATTCTTTTTCTTTTATTTACCTCTATTAAGGATTTTCTTTTAATACTCAACACTCAACGCTACATTTTTATTGAATCCTTTAATGGATTTACTCAGGCGTGTTTTCCTCGTTCTCGTTAGCTTTTAAGATTGTTAAGAATCAATGTTTAAGCAAATTCTATAATCAACTTACTCCATTGCAATAACTTTTAATTTTTCTTTTACTGTCTTTAGTATTATCGGATCTGTGTGGATTACGTCATTTAGTCCTTTCGTTCCACTTCTTCATTCTTTCCTCCACTTTCATTGGACGTTTTTGTTTTACATATAATTATATATATTTTAATGGTATTTATCCCATCATTGGTTTAACATCAAAGGCAGACATGTGATTGTTCTGTAGTTGCTTGCCTGGGATCTATTGTCAGGGGCTTTTTTTATGAGACGTGTTCTGCTTCTGATCATCTGATCAATGATTTATATCTTTCTCTGGCCATTCAATAATGACTGAACAATTTGTCGCATAGTTTTGAGAATTTCTTGACACAAATTCCACATATTACGGCCGAAACGTTGTGAATATGGCAATGAAGATTAGGATAACAGTCCGAATAATTTAAATAATGCAAATAATCATAATACCTCATCTCAGAGATATAGGCAGATATATAGAGAGACATAGACATAAAGGCCGGAGCGTACAACGGCCAAAACGTTGTGAATATGGTAATGAAGATGAGGATAACAGTCCGAATAATGTAAATAATGCAAGTAAATAAATTTTAATATGAGGGATAGAGCGTATCCCAAATTATGATTATAAAAATGAATACTGGGTTCAACACGGAGCGGCGACAATCGGTTCAATGCTTTTAACGCAATATTCAGGTCTGGTGATAACCAAACTTTGGAAAACTACATAAATAAAATAAAATAATTAATAATAAAAAAAAATTAACAAACACCGAATGCACACCAGTAAGTGAAGAAATAATCAATAACAAATAATTAAGTAATCAATGCAGATTGCGTTCAAGAATGAAACAGGCTGTCGACGCTGGCTGTTGAACTCATTTTCTACACACGCACACACACACACGCACATATATCTGTGTGTATGTGTGTGTGTATGTGTGTGTGTGTGTGTGTGTGTGTGAAGGAATATAGTTTCAAGATTTACTATATTTATGGGATAAAGTACTCAATATCAGAGATAGAGCGTATGTAATTATAAATATAAAAGGAAACATTGAAATCGATGCCCAGAGGCGACAGGCTGTTTCGTGCTAGACGCAATCGTCGGCCCGCGAATGTTGGATCTTTTTCTCGACTATACATATATATATATATATATATATATATATATATATATATATGTGTGTGTGTGTGTGTGTGTGTGTGTGTGTGTGTGTAGGGGGGTCAGTGGTACATTGTGGGTAATCCGTTCTGGCGGTTAATTTGTCGGGAGTGGCTTGTTTACTTATTTATTTATTTGGGTTAATTTATTTTACCTATTTTTTGTTTTCACTTATTTTATATATTTATTTATTCTTTTCGGTTTTCGATGGTTTTTACTCCGCTAATGTAGTAAAAAATTGGGGGATTTGTTTACGTCGCTTATTTAATATCTTGTTTTGGTCTGGGAAGATAAAGCTATTTATTCGTCCAATTTTTGGATTGATTGCCGTAGTCTATTCTGCTATTTGGAGACAGTTTTTAATTTGTTTATTATTTTATTTTTTATTTATTTGGCTTGATTATTTTTACTTGTTTTGCTTATTTATATTTATTTTTATTAGTTCTAACGGTTATTTTAGCGGGAGCGATTTGCTAATTTATTTGGAGTCATTTTTTCTTATTTAATTGCTTATTTTTGCTTTACTCTATAGATATTTGAGTAACGTAGCTATTTTCTCGTCCAATTTTTGGATTGGTTGTTGTAGTCTATTCTAACGGTTATTAGTTTGTTAATGTGTTTATTGATTACTTTATTTATTTGGATTGATTATTTTTGTATTTTGTGTATTTATTTGTTATTTTTATTTGTTCTATTTCGTCTAATCTAACGGGAGTGGTTTGTTAATTTGTTTATTATTTGCTTGCGTTAATTTATTTTAATTGTTTTTAATATTGTTTTGTTTATTTTTATTTATTCTTTTCAGTTTTCGATTTTTAAGTAACGTAGTAAAAAATTTGTTTTCATGTCTGCATTTTGAGATCAGCTCAGATCGTTTATTTAGTAATTAATTTTGATCTGAGGAGGTAATAATAGCTATTTTTCACCTGAACATTGCTTTGTACATGAAACGCCGAGTCGTGAACCGGGGAGGGATAATATATATATATATATATATATATATATATATATATATATATACACTACAGGTTAAAAGTTTGAGGCCACTCCTGGTAATTTTTTAAACTGGCCCCAAAAATAGTTATTTTGTACTTTAACGGAAACAAAGTTTATTATTACAGAAAATGTATAAGCTTGATAATTGATTCCATTTTTTTTTCAATGACTCTAAGAGCTCTTTTTCATTTTATTGACTCTTCTGCCAAGTTCATCCCATACTAATTCTGTATATGTACATATATGTATATATTATGGTATTTGATAACAGAGACATTCCTCTGGATATTAAATGAGACTAAGTTTGCGTTGCATCAAACTTTTCTCATGAATAAAGCCTGGAAAATCTGCATCCCAATTTCTGACTTTTACCTGGACAAGAATAGCAATATCAGATACGAATGCAAGCCGATTACAAAATCCTACAAGGCCCCACCACCTCTCTCTCTCTCTCTCCCTCTCTCACTCGCTGTCTGTCTATCTGTCTGTCTGTCTCTCTCTCTCTCTCTCTCCCTCTCTCACTCGCTGTCTGTCTGTCTCTCTCCCTCTCTCACTCGCTGTCTGTCTGTCTGTCTGTCTGTCTGTCTCTCTCTCTCTCTCTCTCTCTCTCTCTCATCCTCCTTACCTTTTGTCTACTTGTCAGCTTGAGCGACAGTTTATGACATTGAGGAATAACAAACATGTCGGGAAATTTTTTTATCCCAAAAGACAGTTCGTTTCGAATCGACACAGATTGGCGCCGATTCCATCTGCCACGTTCAAATCATTGATCCAAGAAAGACTCAAAGAGCGATGCTATTCAAGAAATATTCCAAAATCGAAAGTTCAAATTAAACTGAAGTCACACGATTAATACAAATAAAATCTCTGAAAAGATCACTTTCTATAAGAAAGCTAAGTACAGGTTGGAAATAGAAAGATGGCTCTTAACGAAATGTGAAGTCGTATCTTCTGTTCTTGTTCGCTTCAGTTCAATAAACAGGTCTTTACAAATGAAACGAAAAAGACAGCAAACACTGAAATGCATTGGATTTAACTCATCCGAGAGATGGAAGAATTATAGCATTTTAGTGAAATATGAACTCAGAAGAAGAAACGTTGGATGTGGGGTTGAAACTATATAAATTAATTCAAAATTATTGTATGGCACTGTCTGACCATTATATAGGAGTCAATGAGCCATAAAGCACATTCAGATTCAGAAGTTTGGAAATACGATTAAATATGATGGGAATCTATTTGAAAATCCTTGACACTACGTGACCATTATATAGGAGTCAATGTGCCATAAGACACATTCAGAATCAGAAATTTCAAAATGAGATTAAAGATGTATAAAATGCCACAAAGAAGATAGTGTCAAAGTAATATTACTTCGAAATAGGGAAGGTATGTAACATTCAATATTCAAAATAATGCCTATTGACTGTTGGGGAATACAAAAAGACCTCAGTTTCGACCTAGTTCATATATATATATATATATATATTTAAGTTCAATAAAGGTGCAATCAATTTACAAATTCATGAATTATTCATACAAAAAACAAATACAAAGGTTAATGATTTAATTGGCGAGAAATCCATCGTCGCAAACAACTCAAATAATATACAAAAACCCCGAATCTGTTTATGAATGAAAAGATCCTTGTTTTTATAAATTCCTGCTGCATGAGTTCTTATTATTTTTACAAGCTTTCGTCTGTTCATACAGACATCCTCAGGTATGGAATAGATTTTGTTCTTGTTTTTTCTCTCAGTAATAAGAGGACAACGAAAATATATGTACTGTTGTAATCCGAAAAATGCTATTAGAAATGAGTTATTATTTTTGGAGCGAGCTGTCGCAACGCTGAGTTTGAATTTAAATTTTACAATTGTGCGTTCTTATACAAATATGGATTAAGTTAATGTCTGTGAAACCTTTTTATTTACATATTTATTTATTTATTTTTTGTGTGTAGGAATACGTTTCTTTTGTAACTGTTTTTTTTTTTTTCGCACATCTCGTTTGTGGAACTCTCTTGCGGCTTCTTACTTACCAATCAACTTAGAGCTTCAAAAATGTGTATGTAATGCTTCTGTCATCTGTCTTATTCATTTACTGTTCTTTTTCCTTTGGAGTTGTTTTTCTTATATGCTCTGATACTCAATAACTTCTTCTATCGTATTGAAATGATTAAAAAAAACGAAAAGGAAGTTCACTTCTCTTTTTTTTTATTGCAACACAAAGATTTCTATTCTAATATTGTTAAATAAGTTTAAATTCTTGCGTTTCAGACAATTTTGATCTTCAAAAATTTAAATTCATTGTCAATCGTTATCTTCTTCTTTCTTCATTGCTGCTCTTTTATTGTCCTCTTTTTTAATAATATGTTTTTTTTTCTTTTCCCCATACTCCTTCTCGCTTGGAAAACTTCATACGTCTTAGTGGCTTTATTGCTTACTTGGGGGTGAAATTATTGGAAAAAAAAAATGATGTACAGCTTTCTAACATGATCTAACAGCATTCTTACACCAGCAAATAAGTTCGCGTAAATATTTTAAATAAAAGAAATATATATATATTTCGACATCCACGTGCTATATATATGACATAAGTATATTCTGAATAATTTACCAACAGCGGTTGATTCGTAGCAATTTTATTGTGATATCATTGGCTTTTATAACAAAATATGACATATTGCAGTAAATATCGACTGCCATGTTTCAGCCTCATTCTGAGATATTCAATGCTAAAGCAATTAAAATGGCCGTTCTCCTAGCTTCTAAATCATACCAGCCTAAAAAACAAACTCAATTTTGACTTCCGAAATTTAAGAAGTTTAAATTAAAATCGCAAAACTTGACTCTCCTGAATATGTGATTTACGTGATATCTGTCCACCTATGTGGCGGGGAATGCTTGACATTCTTCTCACAGATGAAGAGTCTTGGAGAAACAGAAATGTGGTTCTACAGAAGGATATTGAGAATACCATGAGCCAAATATGTGAGCAAGGACGGATTTTTAGAGAAAATTGAAACTAAAAGGAAACTTATAATTAACACTAGGATAAGACAGTTGATATTTCTAGGACACATAATGAGGAAGGACGGCTTGGAGAATCTGAGACTCAAAGGACAGATTTAAGACAAGAGGGACAGAGGAACACAATGCATGACATACCTAGTGAGCTTGAGTAAATGGAGAGTGGAAAAAGGTTTAGGAGAAATAAGAAAAATGCAAAATTTATTAGGAAAGAAGAAGAAGAAGAAGAAGAAGAGGAGAAGGAGGAGGAGGAAGAAGAAGAGGAGGAAGAAGGAGAAGAAGGACGCAATTGAAATGAATGTGAAAGAAGAAGAAGAAGAAGAGGAGGAGGGGAATGGAGAAGAAAAAGAAAAGGAGGAAGAAAAAGAAGAGGAGGAGAAGAGGAGCAGAAGGAGGAGGAGGAGGAAGAAGAAGAAGAGGAAGGAGAAGAAGTGACGCAATTGAAATGAATGTGAAAGAAGAAGAAGAAAAGGAAAAGGAAGAAAAAAAGAGGAAGAAGAAGACGAAGGAAGAAAAAGAGAAGAGGAGGAGGAGGCGGATGAAGAAAAAGAAGAAGAGGAGGAGAAGAGGAAGAGGGGAGGGAAGAAGAAGAGGAGGAGAAGGAGGAGGAAGAAGAAGAAGAGGAAGAGGAGGAGGAGAAGAGAAGAAGAAGTTCTAGGCTATCATTAAGTGTCTGTAGCAGATCTGTACCTACACTACCATATTCTAATTCTACACGCCGACCAAGCAATGGATTTTTTTACATTGTCACTAAATAATCATCTCTTAAATGTCATTTGAGCAGAGTGAGTATACAATTCATGTGGATATTCCTTCAAGATGTGCACGATTATGGCTCCCCACAACTTTTATTTTAATATCTAGAAAATCTGTGTTACTAGAATTATTTTGGTAAAGGAAAACGATTTAATTTCCTATGTCATTCTAAAGAACTAATTGATCATTGTTTGGGGAAGAAACAGTTTATTCAATCTTCAGCAGTTCATCATAAAGAAATTCCCCAGAATCTCATCAGAGAGTTTTTTTTCTTAATCCAATTTTCGTTGCTAGTCTCTCTCTCTCTCTCTCTCTCTCTCTCTCTCTCTCTCTTTTATCCGGCCTTTTTAGACGGTGATGGCTCGCGACAACTTTCTTTATAAATATTCTGTAAATTGTATATACCACATGGAAAAGGTTTACGGCCATATCACGCTGAAATATTGCTTCCCGTACGATCACCGAAGTTAAGCAACGTCGAGACTGGTCGGTACCTAGATGAGGTGACCGCTTGGGAATACCAGATATTGGACGCTTGGAAGTGCGGGTGGTGTAATGGATAATGGCTCGAAATTTTTAATCAGAGATCCGAGTTTTAATTCCTGTTGAGTTCATTATATTCCCTTGCGCGGGAACATTAGGAATTCCCCATTTGCCCCCTCCCCAGCTATGGGTTAAGACCTGTAGTACTAAATCATTATTATCTCAAAAAATAAAAATTGTGTACAAAATATTTAGATTTTGGCATTAAATGACCCATAGAGGTTGATATGCCGTTAAACGAAAACAACCAACCAATCTCTTGGAAAAGATACTGGAATGCTTTCTCTTGGCTTTCGCTATTGTTTTGAAATCACAGTTGTCTTTCTTCTATACTGGTTGCCAACCAAGGCTAGAGAGTTCAATTAGGGTTGCTATTTCATTCATAGCTGAAAAGAGAGTAATTGATGCACGTCTTTTCTGAATTCTTTAATGGAATGTGAATGTATCAAATCACATCCGAAATTTGAACTCTGCCTGCTCCATTACATTTTCCGTACCAATAAAAGTGTTATATAGCAATAAAGTGTCACTGCCGACACTGGAGTTTGAACACAGATCACCAGAGAGCAAACACAGGCGATCCCATTTTAAATAAGTAGATCACGTGATGTTAAAGGAAATGCATATATGAAAATTAGCGTGGCACCTACTTGATCCCTATTTCTAGACTATCCTCTATTACTACACGGATCTCTATTCTTTATACTATTCGCTATTCTGATCACTACACAGATTACTATTCGGTGGTTACTTTTCCAGCGAGTATTATCCAATAAGTACTATTAGTGCGATTGTTATTCGAAGGGGTCTGGCACCAGTATTGTTCAACGGCGTTACTGTAGTTGTATCTGCGATTACAAAGTCTCTACTACAACGAGCATTACGAAAGTGATTACGAGTATTCGTTGATATCACAAAAAAAGTTACGCCACTTGTTTTTTTTTAATTTTTTTAATCGGTAATACCCCATGCAAGGCAGTAAAGCCACTAAGACACAAGGGGGTGGAAGGAAACATTAATAATGAGCAGGAAGAGAAAAGAGCAATCAGGAGGACAGTAGATAGCGATTGACATTGCATTTAAATTTTTGGAGATTAAAGCTGGCTGGAAAGCCAGGGGCCGTAAGAGAGTTTCACAAACAAGGCAGTAAAGTCACTAAAACGCAAGGGTTTACAGGGTGTGGAAGAATTAGGAACAGAAACATTAATAGTGAGCGGGAAGAGGAAAGAGTAATCAGGAAGACAGTAGATAACGATTGACATTGCATTTAATTTCTTGCATTTAAAGTTGGCTGGAAAACATGGAGCCAAAGGGAATTCCACAAGCGAGAAGTACGAGAAAAGAAACTGTTAGTGCATACGGCTACATCTAGCTGTAAATTGATGACATCTCGGCACCACTCTGGCACTGCGCTTAAATTTAAAAAAAAAAAACTAGGTACCATAGCGAAAAGCAATATTTATTTTGTTTTATACAGAAATGTGGCACATGGCCGAAATGGAGATTGGGGAAAGGACGGTCTTCCTCTGTTTTAACTAGCCACAAATGCTGATCCAATCATACAAACAATATTCCTTACACCAAAACAACACATCCATACGTACCTTTCTTACTACAATCACCATTATACCTCTTTGTCTCTATGAAAATACTAACTAGTCCCCATATTTACAATTCAACCATAGCGAAAAGCGATATTTATTCTGGTTAATACAGAAATGTAGCACAAGGCCGAAAAGGGGATTGGGGAAAGGACGGTCTTCTTCTGTCTTAACTATAACTCAGCTAGGCGCAAACACTGACCCAATCGTACGAAACAATATTCTTTGCACCAAAACAACACATTCATACGTACATTTCTTAAAGCAAAGATTAACTACGTCTGGAATTAAGAGATGTTGTTGAAAAATGAAACCTTAGGCTGCAGGATGTAAATTATACAATTATTATATTAATAAATTACATTAAATTATTATACATGTATTCTAAGATACCCGTCTATTAGGGCGGCTAGCCATTCCTTATTGCAGACGCTTGCTCAGGCGTACTTGTGTTTATTCAACACCCACAGGGCCCACCTGTGGTTTACATTGCAACTATACTGAGCGGACCTTATTTACTGTTTCTGGGAAAGAGCGTGTTATCTAGCGTGATCAACAATTTGAACAAGGCCAGCACACTCAAGCCCTCGGCCACGATGACTTGAGACTTCGTGCTAGCACAGCTATTGACGTCTACAAGGCTTGGGTCAACCCGTGGTATACACTTTCCAAAGATGTCGCATGCTGGTATTGATGTTATCCAGTTCGATAACATCAGGAAGTCTTGTTTCTAATAAATTGACCATGGTGTGATTCGAGCCCGCGTGTCAGGGACAGAATGCCAATGCTTTAACCATTCGGCCATATATTAAATTATTATTCTATTATATTAAATTATATGTAGCAAATGAGTCGACTTAAACAGTGTAAGGGACGCAACTCTTTCCGTCTGAAAATGTCTGCAACGCAAAACGATGTACACCAAGCACGGGTGAAATGTTGGTCTGCCAATGTCTCCAAGCAACCTGCTTTTATGGAGCCCAGACACACCTCATTAGCATGTGTGTAACGCGACTTTGCGTGACTGCACGAGACCGTGAATATTAAAAGTCACGGACGCCATTTTGAATCTTTTCTTTCCTTTCTCAACCCACAGGCCAGGAAGATGCGAGAACGTTTGCGAGGTAGGCCGTTTCTATTTTCCCCACACTCCCCCCTGATCTCATGATCACAGAGTTGACAGGGAGGTGGTGATCGCTTGCGCCGGGTACTTCTTCGAAGAGGGACGCTGCGAGCCTCATCGTTGCTTGTGATCCTGTCTGAGGTCTGAGGGTCGAAAGACACCGCGTCCCTTGAAGGCTACTGATATCCGAGTCACTGCCTGATGGGGCTGGCGTGAACCAGAGCGATGCCTCACTGGTCTCAGATTCCGATTCGCTCTCATCGTCCAGCGGTGGTTGCAACTGCGTCGACGGACGCAGGTCCTTAACGTGACGGGGCACACCGTCGACCCGTACCGCCTGTGGGCTGATCACCTCAGTGACGCGTCCGATTCCGTATTTCGTGGTGCACTTGCTGTGCGGATTTTTAATCCAGACGACATCGCCTTTCTTCAGCCTCTCTCCGGTTACTTTCAGTTCCGTCAGTGGGTTGGTTTCTATGCCCTTCACTCTAACGTGGTACCTATGCAATGTGTCTGCTGGCGCCGTAGAGGGTGAGACATCATCCTTCGGGGTCACGTTGTATAAGTAGACCGCCTCAGACACCGTGCAGCCCGTCCTGGCTGCGATGGTCTTGACGGTCCTGTGGTTCCGCTCGATGATTCCATTTCCACTCGGTACGTGGGCGCACCGGAACCGTAAGTGCACTCCCCAGCCATCCGCAAACTTCTCGAACTGCTCGCTGGTGAATGCGGTGCCATTGTCGGTTAATATCTCCGTTGGGGGCCACGTTCAAGAAAGATGCTGTTTAACTGACGGATGATAGTGGCTGCATCTTGCCGACGCAGCAGTCGCCATATCGCAAACCTGGATGGACCACAATCAATGAGTGTCAGGAAATGCTCGCCGTTGTGGTGAGTAACATCTATCGCCAGCCGGCTCCAGTGGTTCCTCACGCTCAGCTGCCCTTTCTTCCAGCGAACGGGTGCTGGGTCTATAGACTGGCACGCCACGCAGCTTCTGACCACTCTCCTGACGTCTGTCTTTTTGTACTCCTGGGTCAACCAACTTGGCGAAATACAGTGTCCGCTTGACTCCAGGGTGCCCACTTTGTTGGTGGACTGCTTTGATTTGATTAAATCGAACGGGACTCACGGACGCAGCGCAGGCTGGTTGCACGGGCTCAATGGCTTTCTTTAGCGGCGTCAAGCCACCTTTGCGGCACCCTCGTTAAACAATCTGCTTTGTTGAGGCTAGATTTGACCAGGGACACCTCCATTGTCAGTGCGTACTCTTGCACTAAATTCACGATCGTGTCGAGCCGTCGTCGGATAAGCATCTCGCTGGTGGCTTTAGTCCGCACCCTGGCCCTCCCGGTCAAGGTATCAGAGATCCACTTATAAACGCAAGCGGAATCAGTGAACAGACGCAGGGTGGTCGACTTCCAGAGGATCGCCAAGTTGATCCCCTTGATGACAGCATCGAGCTCCGCTAGGTTTATGTGCTGGGAGTCCCTTTCTGACGTAACCAGCAAGCATCTTCTACCACGGCTCCATCGTGAACTATCGATACGCCGGTTGCAAGAGAGCTTGCGTCAACCCACACACAGAGGTCTTGGCTGTCAACGCACCATCTGCCCCGCGCTGGGTCTTCCTTGCGTACTCTAGCGAGGACCTCCTTCATCATGGTGTTGAGAGGGGCGTCGTGAACTTCGTCATCCCATCCAGTGGTGACGTCAGATGCTCTCCGCTTGATAAACGCCACCGCAACACGCAGCCAGCCACCTACAGGAAGGTGTCCAACTAACTTGCCGCACAAGGAAAATATGCTTCGCCGCGTGACAACAGAGGGTATGTCTGGGAGTTCGTTTCCCCGTTTCCAATACAGGACGTTATCTTCTCCCCAGACCTGCAAACCAAGCACCCGTGCACCATCCTGTAGTCTCTCCGGTTCCTTGCTGAGGAGGCCAAAGTTGTAGAGATGCTCCTTCACGCGCGCCGCAGATACGACTCCCTCGTTCACGTACACGTCATCAATATATGCAGATGTTGCCCGCTGTATGCGCTCATCCTTCGTTAGAATGGCGTCAACAATCATCTGCATAATCGATGGCGCCACATTGAGTCCAAACCCCATGCGGGTCAGGCAATACCGTTGCCCCTTGATAAGCACGGTTTGATAGGGCCACAGTGATTGGTGCACACGCACTTGAAGGTATGCCTTGCGAAGATCCAGCACAGATACATTTGATCCTGCTTGTCGCCATTCCCTTAGCTTCTCGGTACAC